AGAGAGAGAGAGAGAGAGAGAGAGAGAGAGAGAGAGAGAGCTTGTATTGGAAAAGCAGGAATTCTTCCACTCTATTCAGAGCTTTCTGGTTATTTGTGCTGTGTGTTTGTTTTGCAGAAGCCAGCCCTACAACTATGACCACTCCGCTTACAGTAGCAGCAGACGTCCTCCTTCTGGAGGCTCCACATCTTCCTCTGGGACACGCACTGCTTCAGGTAGGACTGCCTGTTTGCACATATCATCAACCTTTTAGCACCTCTGATATAAAGATGTTGATGAAAGGCATTAATATTGATACTTAAGGTGTTTTCACATATGGTCCTTTTTAAACTATCCAAACTCAGTCTTCTTAAAGTGGACCAACAGGAAAGGGACCCAGTTATTTTTACTTTCACAGTTCTCAGTACATTTGGAAGAGGACTCAGTTTTGTTTCTGGTCCACTTCAGCTCTGATGGGGCCTCAGTCCTCTCTCTGCACACTATAGTTCCTACCTTCTGACTGACAAACTGTTTGTCGTAAAAGGTGCTTTTGACTTTCTTTTTTGTCAGAAATGACAGATTCTTCACTTTTTCTCATACGGTTTGTTGCAGAGGGGTTCAAGTTCTTTTGGAGTGTTCACATATGCCCAAATAATGCTGACTAATCACTCTGTTAGTTAGGGAGGCTGAAAGGAACAAAGTATGAAAACACCTTTAATATCTTCACTTTTTTCCTTTAGATTGTTTGTCGAGCATTTAAGTACATTCACTGATTTTATTCATGTCACCCACCCCTAATGAATGTTATTATTGAGTCTACATTCCATACATACTGTTTAAGAGACATGCAGGGAGGAAATAAAAGCAAATTACCAATCAGGGTTTGATCAGAATCTCATAATTATTAAAAGTAAGTCATAATGTTGAGATTTGGATGTCCTACTTATGAGATAATTCCTCCAATTTAGTTTTCTTTGGGGAATGCAATAAGTTTACAATGAATGTCTCAGTAGATCAGTAGCATTCAGAGACATGCTGTAGGTGCAGCTGGCTGACTAACCTCTTTCTTCGCCAGGTTTTGGAGGAACCAAGAGAAGATAAAAGTTGTGGAGGTGGACAGTTAATGGATGGCCCTGAGAATAATAAAAGACGGACTCAGTGTTGGCTGGATGGAAGGTCAAACGGGACAAAAGCACCATTCAAGAAGACGCGTTCTTCTTGCAAGATGAACTTGCAAGATGAACAGCATAGTTACGTTGCTTCTTAGTTCTACTTTCCTCTGGAGAGGCCACTTAGATGTCAGCTCCCGAAAGGAAGCACTCTTTTTAGTTTTTCTGTGTGGTTTCAGCTTTAGCCTGAAGACTCCAGTGTTTGGAAGAGCATGGTATTATTTCATGTGTTTTAAGAAGATGATCTTGCAGTTGGTCATTTAATCATTTTATTCATGCAGTCTTTTTGGGTGAAATAGCTGTCTATGTTTTCTCTCTGCAGTCTGTTTTCTAAGGACCTGTTGACTTTCTTAGTGTGAATGAGCGTGTTCTGCTTCAGATGCATATTTATGAAAATTGTAGCCTTTTGCATTCACATAAAATAAAAGGCAGATATAGAAAAAAGACTATGCACACACCAGAGGCAAGAATCATGACATCAATTATTTAAACTGCTGAACCTGTAAAGGCTCATGGAAAAAAAGTTTTTTGCACATTCATCATTCTTTATTTGCTCTTACCTGCTAGCCCTCATACCTTTGCCTTCCATATCATTTAATGAACTAATTAACTAGCTAATTAAAAGAGAAACCAAACAAAAATGTCTACTTTTTGCTCTCATTCCCAAAAGTAAAAACACATACATTCTGAATTATAAAGTATGTAACATGTGTATATGTTGTCAATAACACATGCATAAAACAAAGTTGTGATTTGTCAAAATATCTCCTCAAAATGGCTGGTTTACCATTCAAGAACATAAAAAGTGATGCGGAAATGTCAGTAAATTGGTCAGGATTGGTCATTTACACACAAATTTGCTCTTCTTGTTTATAGATGAGGTCAATGGTTTGTCATTTTTAAAAAGTGGGTCCCCAGAAAAAAAGTTTGGAAAACACTGCTGTACTTGGAGAAGGCTTTCAACCGGGTCCCTCGGGGGGTCTTGTGGGGGGTGCTGCGGGAGTATGGGGTGCCGGACCCGTTGCAACGGGCGATCCGGTCTCTATACGACTGCAGTAGGAGCTGTGTCCGCATTCTCGGCAATAAGTCAGACACGTTCCCGGTGGGTGTTGGCGTCCGCCAGGGCTGCCCTTTGTCACCGGTCCTGTTCGTGATTTTCATGGACAGGATATCTAGGCGCAGCCTGGGGGCAGAGAACGTCAGTCTCGGGGGTCTCGGGGGTCTCGGGATCGCCTCTCTGCTATTTGCAGATGATGTGGTCCTGTTAGCCTCCTTGGATCGTGACCTCCAGCATTCACTGGGGCGGTTTGCAGCCAAGTGTGAAGCGGCGGGGATGAGAGTTAGCACCTCCAAATCTGAGGCCATGGTTCTCTGCCGGAAACCGGTGGATTGCTCCCTCCAGGTGGGACGGAGCGCCTACCTCAAGCGAAGGAGTTCAAGTATCTCTGGGTCTTGTTCACGAGTGAGGGTAAGATGGAGCGGGAGATCGACAGACGAATCGGTGCAGCTGCAGCAGTAAAGCAGGCGCTGCACCGGACCGTCTTGGTGAAGAGGGAGCTGAGCCGGAAGGCAAAGCTCTCAATTTACCACTCGGTCTACGTTCCTACCCTCACCTATGGTCACGAACTCTGGGTCGTGACCGAAAGGACAAGGTCGCGGCTACAAGCGGCCGAAATGAGTTTCCTCCGTAGGGTGGCCGGGCTCAGCCTTAGAGATAGGGTAAGGAGCTCAGTCATCAGGAGGGAGCTTGGAGTAGAGCCGCTACTCCTTCGCGTCGAAAGGAGTCAGCTGAGGTGGTTCGGGCATCTAATTAGGATGCCTCCTGGACGCCTCCCACTGGAGGTTTTCCAGGCACGTCCAACTGGGAAGAGACCCCGGGGAAGACCCAGAACACGCTGGAGAGATTACATCTCCCAGCTGGCCTGGGAACGCCTCGGGATCCCCCAGAATGAGCTGGAACATGTTGCCGGTGAGAGGGAGGACTGGGTCGGCCTGCTTGACCTGCTGCCACCGCGACCCGACCCCGGATAAGCGGTGGAAAATGGATGGATGGATGGATGCTGTACTTGATATAATTGTCTGACAGGAGGCGGGTAAACTTTGAGAAAAGAACGGCTCTTGTCTGTTAGCTGTATGTTTATATATGATGTGTGCTTTATTTCAATAAAATACTGGCAAATATACCTTACATTGCCTTTTAGCTGATTTACAATGTGCACTTCCATTGTTTTGTGACGTCAGACAACAGCTTCTTAGCAGGGGACGACCTGCAGGTCTGAAAAGTGAGTACAAAGCGGAAGTGCCTTAAATTTGCATTGTTTCTAATGGCCATCAGGGGGCGACTCTTCTAGTTGCAAAAATAAATCGGATTGTGTTGAAAATGGCTTTGTGTCTGGCACATATTTTTTTCTTAACTAAGAGATTAATTAATATAATGTATGCTAAACATGAAATGGACAATAACCCTGTAGTTATCTCACTTGATACAGAACGTGCATTTGATCAGATTGAATGGAGATGTATGCACACAACTCTGAGACACTGGATTAGGGGAGTTTTTTTATTATTATCACTCATCAAAATGCTCTATGCCTGCCCTGCATCTGCCATTCTTACTAATAGTAAGTTAGTCACGGAGTTCCCCAAGGTTCTGTGCTTGGACCAATTCTGTTCACCTTATATATGCTTCCATTAGGCAATATTATCAGAAAAAAACTTCATAAACTTTCATTGTTATGCTGATGATACTCAATTATATCTATCGATCAAACCAGATGAAACCAACCAGCTCACTAAACTTCAAGCATGTCTCAAGGACATAAAAACCTGGATGACCTGCAACTTCCTGATGTTAAACTCAGACAAAACTGAAGTTATTATATTGGGCCCTGAACCGCAGCATACAACTAATAAGGGAATCAAGATGGCCACATTTTTCATGATCTTTTTACCTGAATGATTTTTTGATTTTCATGTTGGACTGTCCCTCCACTCCTCTCTCTAATAAATTGTTTTGGTAGCCTCTCTCGTAGCCTTTTTTTCCTTAAATCTCTTCCCTTAATTGGAATTGCCAAAGACAAGTTAACCTACATGGGCTTGTTTATTCCGGTAAAAACTATGCTCTTATTTAATAACATTTTTTGTATCCAGGTAGAGGAACTAAAGAAAAATATACATTTTTGAGGTTTTTGCACTTTCTGTCATAGGGCGTAAAATGCGATTAAAATGGTGCTCCTCAGGTTCGTTTACTTCATTCAAAAATGTCCAATCAAGTTTTCGCTGTCATTCTTGAAAAAAAGAAGCGTGACAGCAAGGCAGCCAATCGAAACCCCCCATCTTTAACCATGTGACTTTAAAATCCGGAATAACGACAACAGCTCCGATCTTTGATCCCAGTCTCTCAGACATTCCACAAACAGTTGCAGTAATGAAGTCTGCTCTGCTACACGTATCGGTGCCTTTTGTGCTCTGTGTCGCCTGGGCGAACACCAGCCTGTTCGACGAAGTTCAGGTGGACTTGTCGTCTTCCCATTATGCTGAAGAAATGGTTGATTACCTGCCGGGTTTCCTGGCTATGCCATGTAACTGTTTGGTTAACCTGGTTTATATCTACATGGGGCTGTACTGGCTGTTGTGGTTTAGAGGCGTCCAGGAAACGTCGCAGAGCCGGTACATGAGAGAGGTGTTCGCCCTCATGGCTGTCTTGTACGGACCTGTGCAGTGGATACGCCTGGCGCTGCTGCGGCGCGCTCCCGCCGTGCTCGACCAGTGGCTCACCTTACCGATCTTCGCGTGGGTTCCGGTGTGGATCACATTTGTAGAACGCGGGCCAGCGAAGTGGAGCCCGCTGCACGCGGCAGCGCACGAACTGTGCTCTATCCTCAGCTACGGCCTGGCGCTGGCGCACGAGCGGGGGTTCGAGTTGGCGCTGGGGTGTCACGTCGCCCTCGCGGTGTACAAGGGAGTTCGCGTGCAGCTTGCGCACGGGGACATTCGCACGCGGAGATATCTACTGCTGGCGGTGCTGTCATGTGCGGGCTTCGTGGTGCTGAAGCTGCTGGATCACTGGCTCGCTCGGTACCGGCTGTTCCAGCGGCTCACCGGACATTTCTGGTCCAAAGTGTGTGACGTTCTGCAGTTCCATTTCAGCTTCTGTTTCCTGACCACACTGACGCAGAGGGCTCATGGAAAGACAGCAGCACGGCAGGAGTGAGAAACGAGGAGCCCTGACGATCTTCAAGTAGACGCTTTCATACAGAATGTAGTTTGACTCTCAGGCCTGGCAGATGTTGGTTATTACATCACCAACTCAATGGAAAAATATAGCATGCAACAGAACAGAACAAAAAAACGGTAAATGTAAGTATTTCCAGAGTCCTAACATCCCCAAAGACCACATAGCCTGCACAATTTAATGAAAGTGGTGATGTGCAAACCTAATGTTCGATTTGAATCAATATGCAAATGGAGCATTTACTAAAAAGGAAATGCATTCACCCATGTGACCTTCTTCCATTTTCGATAACAAAACATTGTTTTTGTACTGATGGATTCAGATTATCTGACATCATCTGGTAAACCCTCCCACACACTGAAAGGATTAAGATCCAAAAGACATATGTGTTGACTCTGCCTGTTATATAAATGTGCTGGTCTTAAATGCACTCAAACAAATACTAGTAGTAAATACTCTGGTGCCCAGAGCCATTTTGGCAGTTACGCACATTTACCATAAACCATAATTTTAAATGTTTTGTACTGAATTGAGCTATTTACTTGTGATAAATGAACTTATTTTGTACAAACATACAGATTGTACAAACGCAACTGTTGTTTTGCTTAATATTTTATAATACTGATATTTTTCCGGGTATGTGACCAGGGCTTCGAAACTGCGTTCTGAACTTCAAGTTGGGAAAAAGAATAAAACACTTGACTTGAATGAATAAAATATTTGAAAAATCAAAATAATTAACACAAATTTGGGGTAGGATGTGCACTGAGGGAACATGAACTCTACTATTTCCTAAATCCAGTTGGCAGCCCTGCTTATGAACTGAATTGCTAACGTTACACATGAGATCCTGTAAATCATACATCTGGTTTACCACACTGACCATCTTGTCAGTATAGTGTAGTCATGTTTATAGTAAATCACATCAGGTAGCCAGAAGACAGTAAATTGGGCATGAACAGCAGAGAACAAAATCAAATCTCTTGTACTATATTCATTATTAGTGGCCCACTTAACTTAATTGCTCCGGGGTCGACATTTGAGCTATAGAGCGGGATATAAATAACTGTGGCTATGGTTTATGTTTTGATACAACTTTAATTGAAATATTTTCAACTTTTAGTTGAGTTATCGCAACAACAACAAAATGTAGCAATTAGAATATGTATTTCTTTACTTTCAACATGCCGAAAAGAAAGAAAAATGAAATGGCTTGACTTATATATTATAGGGATAACAAAGTAGGAGAAATAAAAAAACATGCCAGTAATGACATACTGACCTCAGATAAATGCAGCTGTTTATGAGATGTATCATTGCTGGATTCTTGATATTTCTGGGGAATAAATGTGGAACACCTCACATGTTTACACGTCATGTCTAGTGATAGAAGTGAGAACAGGCTCTGCCAATGGTTTCCTTCTGGTCCATAGTAGGGCCAGGCCCGCCTCCCGGAAGTTCTGATGGGAGCAGTAAATAAGAGGGTTCAGACTGCAGTCCAGGTATGACATCACTGATGACAGTGTCCTTAACCAATCAGGTGCCGGGGACAAATCCATCATACCCAGCAGGATGAGCTGATGGAGAGAAAGAAACAAAGTCTATGAGTGGACAAGTATGTGTTCACACTTTGGCATTTACATCTGGTGTACATGCAGATAAAAAAGCTCATGTATTGTTCCATGTGTGCAACTAGTGAGAGAGTCCATGTGTCACCTCAGATGCAACAAAGGGGGTGTAGCAGAGCATGTAGGAGGCCACCAGCAGAGGACTGACTGTAGACAGATCCGCTTCATGATCACTGAGACAAAGAGTACAAGATGGAGAGAGGAACACAGAATTTATATCCAGTGGTATGACAGGTAATATTGCAGCGAGTGATGAAGAGTGAGCTGTATTTAGCATGCCATTTGACGGTGTAAAAGTAGATATTGCTGAGAGCGAGCTGTACCCAGCATGTCGTTGGCAGTGTAACAGTTAATCCCCTCTCAATACACTACACAGTGTACATAGCGCACTACTAATAAATATGTCCTGTGGATCTCAAGAGCTCGTACTTAACACTGCACTTCCTTGGGCATTACATCGCTAAGTGTGAAATCAATCGGATGAACAGTTGTTGACATAAAGAGAACAGGCAGTCCTTCCATTTTTGTTAGATTGACATAGCATTCCTCTTTTGACTTCTCCTTTCTCAGTGTGCTAATTAAACATCATACAATAGCTATTACAGTACATTTTATAGGCCTTTCTGTAATAAAACTAGAGGCAATAGAGGCCTTTTGGTAAACCCGCCTCCCCAAACCCCAAGGATCAGAGTTGAGTCTCAAAGTCAACGGTGTCAGGTTTGCAATGACAAATTATTTTCATTATCGATTAGTCTGATGATTATTTTCAGATTACTCAATCAATAGCTTTGTCTTCAAAGTGCCAGAAAATAGTCCCAGGTGACAACTTAAAATTGCTTGTTTTATCTGACCAACTGTCCCAAACACATTCAATTTCAAAATCATATATGACAACAAAAATCATCCAATCCTCACATTTGAGAAGCTGGAACCAGTGTTTGGTATCTCTGACGAAAACTAATTGTGACGAAAGGATTCTTTGACTTTATCCGTGTACATGGAAGTGTAACTTTTGATTGGACATGACCTGACATAAACAACGTCAATGACTATTTTTCAAAGACTAAAAAATCCCCTGACCAGTTTCCAGCTTATGTGGTGTAACTTGAAATGATCTTTTCTCAGGTATTTCACCTGTTGCAGCTTGAGCAGCAGCCAGTGGCACTCAGTAGAGAGCAGAAGACAATGAGGAGGAAGGGGAGGAAGACACAGATGGAGAAAGCGCAGAGAATATAGACCAACATATCTGAGTAGCTGTTCTCCCAAAAGACAGCACACAGCATTTCTGCAGGGTCGTACCTGTGTTAGAGAGAGGACATGATGTTGAGTAGAAACAATATGTTGACCATGGAGCACTAAGTGAAAGCATTAAGCAAGCGTCATACCTGATCCAGGCATAGACAACAGGAACACTCCCAAACACCACCCCTGTCACCCAAGAAGCCAAGCAGGCTGCTACCATGACAACAAAGAGAGGACTTCTTGTGGAGGCCATGCCAATCAGCTGTTGCACACAGAGGACAGCTGTGAAGGAAAACGGACACCCTCAAACTGACTGTTTCAAAGGAATTATGGGACTTTTTCCTACTACAAAGGTATTAATCATCTTTGGTATTAATACAACATTGTTACTTTTCTACCACTGTAGTACTGATGCAAGGACAGTAATCACGACTAGTTCTGCTTGAGTTAAGTGGTTAGATGCATCAGATGCTAGTGTTCGTAAATGCAAGAAAGATTGATGCTGCTTTCAGTTTTAGCTTGATTCAAAAAGAGTGCTGTGTTTTCTGGCCTCTTGTCATCTTTTATTTTGTATTGTTCCATTCAAATCTCAAATCTTCTGGGTGCAAAGTGAACTGGTGGCGTACCTATGCTCCCTATGGAGGAGGTGATGAAGGCGAACTTCAGCAGGCTGACAACCTCACACCACGGTGACCTCTGACCTCTTGTCAGCATGGCCAACAGAGAGCCGGAGATGATGAGGAGGGAGCATCCTTCACAACACAGTGGTTCATTATGAGAAATGATGACTTCCTGCACTGAAATTACATGTCAAACACTGTGACAGATGTGTTATTCTATACTATAACCAAAATACTTTACGAGGTGGGTTTGTAAGATAGTTTGATAAACCAATAATGTCAATTTCAACATTTAATCATGTGATGCACTGGCAGTAGTGTCAGTGTAAATTGTACCTAAATCTGACATGGTGAGGCTGAAGAAAGGAAGCCAATAACGACAGTAGAACTGACCCCTGCACTGAAAATGAAAGAGAAGAAGATAATTGAATATATGATGATATGACACAAAAATGAGTGATTACACAAAACCAAAACATTACGTTGATTCTGGTCATTCTGGTCTTCTGTACTTGCAGACATAACTAACATGAATAACATTTCAAACCAATATAAGGAACAACCGTAACACCTTACCATGACTTTGACCAGCAGAACAAGACAGTTTCCCACAACTCCCATGATCATCTCCAGTCCCAACACAGCCACCAGCAGCCACCTCTCTGCCTCTGGCCATGGACGTTCCATGAACACAGTCCCATTAAACCACTCACTCACTGGAAGATAAAGAATACAAAGCATATCAGAGTTTATTATAGAGTAGCCACCAGCATGTAGTTGGGGGAAATCAGAGCTGCTACTGCTGACTGAGGTTTAATGACATTTTGAATACTTGTTCTAACTGTAATTAGTCACTGGTTGCACATTAAAATAATCACATTTTTAAATGGAAAATTGTGGCTTATACTGTGTCCAAGCTCTCTTCATTCCAGATGTTTGGAGCTGGATCTTTGTCCTCAAGGAGATTCTCCTCTTGTCCCTCTCCCCCTGTGTATGTGTGATTGTTTCTTTTCTCCTGTGTGAATGGTGTGCTTGAGTTTTGCTCTTGTGTTGTGCAGTCAGGTTCTATCTACTTGGACACACATGAAGTTGCTCAAAGTCCTTAAAGAACATGTTTTTCATACATTTTAATTTTACTATGTTGGTCAATTCTGTACCCGCAACCTCTATTGCATGTCTGTCCAGTTCAGGGAATTCCTCCTCCGGTGCTCTTTCTGAGGTTTCTTCCATCTTTTCCCAGTTAAAAGATTTTTTAGAGAGTTTGTCCTGATCTGAATCGAGAATCTAAGGACAGAGGGTGTCGTATGTTGTACAGATTGTAAGGCCCCTTCAGGGTAATTTGTGATTTGTGAAATTGGGATATATACATGTAAATAAAGTTGACTTGACTTGTAAACTCATCACCGTAGTTATAATGTGTTTTTAATCTTTTACGTTCAATCTTTTGAATGTTTGACTTGCTGTGATTTGATCGCTGAAGGCTGAGGTATTTAATGTCACCTGGATTCATGTCGTGGCTGTGTGTGATTTAATGTCTTCCATTCTCATGTCAGAAACAATAGCATAAATAGCATAAGTGACGGAAGACAACTTTAATAACTAGTCCTGCAACAACAGTTAGATTGCATGAACTAAATGACTTGATACCGCAAAGAACAACTGAAAATAACAAGGACTGGGTATTAGACACAATATAACTGACAATGCAAATGGGAAGTGTGAACAAATATAAATCACTGCATAGTCCAAATATGTGCAAATAACAGCAGAGGAACAACACAAGATCAACTAATTGGAGAAACTGACAACTAAAATACATATGCACTGTAAATATGCAGTTCAAAATACTGTTGGTTGGACAATGAACTCTTTAGAAAAATATAGAACATAATAAGTTAACATATTCAACAGCATATATGAACAAAGACAGCTAGTGTCATTTTTTAATGTCTTTCCCTATACAACTATCTATACTGTATAGTGTGTACTGAGATGATTGTACAATTATACCCAGAACACAAAGAGAAAGCTACGGGCGAATGGTGTGTACAACACTAAAACATTACGTGTCTTAGTTGTCACCAGTGCAGTATGCTCCATGAGATGGTCAATTACATCACCTAATGATATCCAACCCATTACCGTATCTTACAGCTCTCATGTGTTCATACAGATAAAGACCGTTTACTTTTGCATAGGGACAGACACAGTGTTAAATCTCAGTCTGACAGTATTTTCTATTTGATAGAGAAAAGGATACACTTACTTTTACGTTGAGCCGTCAGTCCACAGCCTTCAACAATAGGTGTTTGTACCGTAGAGCTCAAATGCAAGTGTCATCAAAGCCATTTTTAATTAAAATTCACATGCTCCATTTAACTCAACTAGAATTGCTCTGACGCACATTGTGTGTGTGCCTGTAATTCAGCTTCTACTAGTACAAACTACTTCTGTCATTATCCTGTAGGTGATGATAATAACAGCAAGGAAAATAAGCTTCTATTAGGAATCAGATGCAAATAATGTGTCGAAAACATATGCTTTTAAACTGTAGCAGGAACATGGAGTTACTGTATTTCTCTCTTATTAAAGCACCTGTGCAGTTGTATATTAAGTTCTGCCAGAATTACAACCATTAATACTTTCCGCTGCTATCACTGCTTGCATCTAACATTCACTTTGCAGGTTTACACAGATAACCTTTTAATAAGTACAATGTTTATTTTTAAATAATAATGAATAAACCCCCAGATAAACCCAGTTAACCCCAGTTAACCCACAAACCCTGATACAAATCTGTGTCTTCAGTTAAGCTATGGGGAGAAGAAGTGGACATTTTTATGGAAGGTTTGAATTGTTGCATGTTGCTATGCTTATTTAAAATATATATATATATATTGACTTTGGATTTGCAGTAATCTGGACTTAATAGTTTTCAGTTTGGCTATTGTGAGGAGCTTTGTCAAATCCCAGCCTGTATAGGCCTGGAACGATATTCTTATACTGTTCTTTACGGTTGTGACAGGATGGCAGACAGGGAGACAGATGGTGACAGCAACAGCAGAGAGTTTAGTGAGGAAGAATGAAACTATAGTGATGAGAGGAGGGAGAGTTAGTGGGAAGAGGTGGTGAGTGGAAGATGAATAATTAAGGCGATTAGCCAAGAAGAAAGAGAAATGACGCAAGTCAGGTGGAACAGAGAGTTTGTTTATTTGTTTATTAAGATCTCTATTAGCTTTAGCATTGTGATGATAAATAAATGATATATTTGTAAATATGACAATGGATATGGATAGATCCCTGTTTGCAGATGAAAGGTCTCTGTGGAAAATAGGGAGAAAGGTAGCACATATAATTAAGAAAAAACAAGATGGGATTTGTCAAGTTGAAATGTGGGGGACAAAATGGAGATTTAAATTTTCAGTGGAGAAAACCAAATGTTATGTTCTTCACAAGAAAGAATCTCAGGACTGGTAATAATCTGAAATGATAAGGAAATAACCTTAACCCGAGATTGATATGGAGAGAGAGGGGGCATATTAAAAGTGTGGAGGATAAGTGTAAATAAAATTGATAAATGTCATGAGATGTCTTGCAGGAGTGGAGTGGGTAGTTGGGTTAGATATGCATGTAGCTCTATTCAGATCAAGGCTAGATTATGGAAGTATTGTGTGTGGATCATCAGCTAGATCTGAGTTTGAGGTTAAATAGACTCTGTCTTTGAGAGTGTGTTTCGGGGCAGTGAGAGCTTTGCCACTGTACGTATAACAAAATAGAACAGGAGTTGTGAGAAATTGTGAAGGAAATAGGAAATCAGAATCAGAATCAGAAACTGTTTATTATCAAGTATGTACGTTACACACATACAAGGAATTTGGCTAGGTGAATACTGTGCAACAGTAAAACCCAGTGCAATAGTATAAGACATAATTATAAAATTGAAAATAGGAAAGTTTACAATAAAATACGGTAAGCAAACGAACAAATAAGAGTAAGTTAAAACATGTATGTTATGCAAGTGAAGAGTCTTTATTAAAAGAGAAAGGATGTGCAAGGGTGTGTAACGGTAGGAAATTGTCATGGGGATGTAAGAGTCAGAGTCAGTGGGGGTCCTAGGTTTTGTTGATGAGCCCAACTGCAGATGGGAAAAAACCGTTCATGTGGCGTTAGGTCTTGGTCCTCATGGACCGCAGCCTCCTGACAGATGGAAGGGACTCAAACAGTGTCCAGGGTGTGAGGTGTCGGCTACAATCTTTCTTGCTCGCTTCAGGCACCTGGAGGCGAACAAGTCCTGGAGGGACGGCAGATTGCAGCCAATCACCCTCTCAGCAGAGTGAATGATACGCTGTCCTTGTCCTTGGCAGTGGCTGCAGCGTACCAAACTGTGATGGAGGAGCAGAGGATGGACTCAATGATGGCTGTGTAAAAGTGCACCATCATTGTCTTTGGCAGGTTGAACTTCTGCAGCTGCCTCAGGAAGTACATCCTCGGCTGAGCCTTCTTGGTGATGGAGCTGATGTTCAGCTCCCACTTGATGTCCTGGGCTATGGTGGAGCCCAGGAAGCGGAAGGACTCCAAAATAGGAGGTATAATGAGGAGATTAAGAATGGGAAACAATAATCTAAACAGCACACTTCACATTATAGGGAAATATCCAACCAGTCTTCATGGCAGAAGATCATCTTCCCGAGGAGAACTCGACTGGTGAGGAAAATCTGACATACCGGACACTGTAGGAGTAAACTCAATCCAAAAGATGGCAGTAATTAAATACCAATGACGCAAGCTGTCGTTATTAAACCCCAAAGAAGAAGAAGAGGAGGAGGAGGTCCATGACGTTGGGGAACTTCCTGTACACGCAAGGTCCGTTCCGCATATCGTCCGCTGTTCTGGTTTAGAAGGCCAAATAGCGAATTTTCGGTGAGTTTATAATAATTTAAATTCATAAAATCTTATTTCTTACAAGGATAATTTTGTCACATTAAATTGTTAATTTATTATTTTTTATATCTGACCTGAGGAACAGAATAGCCCAAAAAATCCCCTCAAGCGACCTTTCTGCAAAAGTCCTTGACAGCATCTTATGTTCTGGTACTTGGCTACTGATCAATGCTTAGAAGTTAGCCTTTACTTTACACAAACTAAACCCAAAACCAACGACCATTTCTTGTGCACTGTGAAGTTGAGTTGTCACAATGGTATTTTGTGTGTGTTTTGCAAGGTGCTGTTGGCTAACGTTAGCTAAACAATGTCATGCTAGCGGAGTACGTTAGCGAGAATTGCTAGCGTTAACGTTACATCAGGGTAAGCTTAGATCAAGAAGTCCTGTTTTACGTCAATAGTTAAAATCAAAGTTCGATTGCTGTGCCTCACTATTAGAGTTCGTAATAGTGAGTGGGATAAGGCTAACGTTGACAGCTGTGAAACCGCACAGCTAACGTTTATGTCGGTATTCAGCGATAGTTGTTTTGGGTGTGAAGCGGGTTTAACTTCACAACCTAGCTAACGTTACAGTTCCATGAACAGTTAGCAATAGGGCTCGCAATATCATTGGATAGTATTTGTCAGAATCTATCGTACCCATATCCGGAGCAGGTCTCCAAGGTGAACAGCCTCTGGCATATTAGATCAATTAGCTTGCGTCATTTAGCTTATGGCAGACAACTGCGAGTATCGAATGACTGTTTACTATGTAGAGACCCATTTTAGCTGCAAATAATAAATGATGCAGCCGTTATTTGTGAATAGTTCCCTCATGGTTTCTTGTCTGGTTCCAGCTTCAAAGACGTGATGGCTGCAACGTTGCGTTTACTTTCCTCTGTATCAAAGCCAGGTAAGATTTCTCAGCCAAAGGAACAGTTGCACTTTCAAACACTAGTAATTACAGTGCAACTGATATGATAGTAGTTAAACATTTTGTTTTATAAAATAAGTATATCATTTGGAAATTACACAACATAGTGTTAAGATCTCAAATCACATAGGTTTGTCAATAGGAGCCATGTCAGATTACACAACTAGATCTGCCTGCTCTCAGCAGAAGACCAAACACAAGAAGATGTGTCTTTGTCATAGTAAGATGTTGTTAAGCACACTTCAGGTACCTGTGTGTACTAACTATCCTTCAGTTGTATAGTCAATGGGATGTAGTATCTTAATGATAATGCACTTTATCTTTCCTTTCAGGCATCTTTTTGCCCAGCCAGATTCTAGTGAGGTCCTTCAGTGTGTCTACACAAAGGGAAGGATTCAGTAAGTGCCACAACAACACACAAAGGCAGCTTGATGTGTTGTATTGGAAGTACATACCCAATATTGTCTGTTATGATGAGCTCTCAATAAATGATAGATGCAGCATTTGGTCAGAAAGACCCTATCGGGCCCTTTTTCCTCCACTGTCTACTTTGCTTTGGCAGCAGAAACAGTCTTGCAGTACTTTGAACTTTTCTAACTATAATAGCTATTCATAATAGTGTGTTCATTGTGAGGCACAAAAACTCGATACTAGTGAACATGTTGAAAAAGTCATACAGTATGTATTTAAAAAGACTTAAAATAATTCCTACACTTATTTCCAGCCTGGGCCTTAAATTTAAATTGAATCATTGAATCTCCTGTCAAAACCCTGCTTGTCATCTTCTGGAGTTTGACACTAGAAGGCTGCATCTGCTTATTTGGAAAATGTTCTCTGTCCTCACCTCAAATGTAAGTTTAACACCTGGATATATCTGCAGGATTTATGACTTGAAACTTGTTTGACGCCAATCAGACTGACTCTGAGAATGTAGGAGAATCCTGTGTCAGCACAATTTAAGATATGAACAAACAATATTTACACACTCATCTAGGGTGTGTAAATATTGTAGGGAGGAGTTTTTTCTAAAATGATGAACTAATCTAAAGAATTGTTGTATTTTTCCAATTATCATAAAAAAAATGCAGAACAGGAATTGATTTCTATTTTAATTATAACTGAATATTGTTTCTAGAGCAGCAACAGAAGAGTCTCAGTCAGAAACTTACAAAAATTTGCCAAAAAGATATACAGACAGAAATGAAAGCAAAACATTGTAGAGAACTCTCACCATAGTTTCCTTCCTATTCATTCAGCTAAGGTGCCTTAGGCACTGCACTGACGTTTTTGTTTTAATGGTAGGAGTCACTTTTTGTTAATTTAGCACATATCCTATAATCTGTAATATAAGCTGCTTCACTTGGTCTTGGCCTCAGTTTAGTGTGTAATACTGGGGTTCCGATGTGTTTTTGAAGGAGAAGCCTCAGCACCTTTGAAACATGCTCACAGTCGGAGTAAAAGGGAAGGAACACAGTCTTCTATGTGGTGTGTTCATGTGCTGCTGGGAAACTTAGACATTCAAAACTCATGTCAGCTGCTGAAAAGCTTTGCATTCATGGGATATATACTTTAGGGAAATGAAACCTGTCTATAAACAAACATTATCAATATGGTTTCGGACACATCCTCTCCAGCAAAGGCAGATTTGTCCATAGGTCATAAACGCCACACAGCACTGCATTTCATTGCACAACCCTGTTGTACAATGACGATAATGAATAATGAACCCTGAAACCTTGTAAGTGCTCAGTCACACCAGAGAGTGGGACATTGAATTAGGGGGTTCTTTAAGCTTTGTGACGTACAGAAGTGACTGCTTTCATTGTCAGTGTCCAGCAGACATTACACGGTAAACATACGGTAGTTAATTCAACCCGTCCTGTTTTACTTTCTGCTGTTCACACATCTAGACTCAAAGTAGAATGCCCACAAGCATAGAACCTTGCAGGTATGTTTAGCATTGACAATGTCATTCATATATTGAGCTCTATTTTGTGCAGTTCCTAACAGTGTAGTGAGTAATGTGTTTCCATGCTATTTGAAGTCCTGAAAAGTCCTGAAACCTGTTTTTGCCAAAGAGAATTTTGAATCAGTTGACCGACAATCACGTCAACGCTGTCAATATTGATTACTATAGGTTGGTAATGAAAATCTGCATGTCTTTTCCTCTGCAAGTGAATCCACCAATTATGAAGATTCCATTAAATGGTATACATCAGGGAGATGTCTTACATATTACCCAATTACAACGCAGCCTGACAACACAAAGCTTGAAGAAAAGACTTAGACCAAATGACTTGGAAAGATTGATGAAAGTGATTTCATCTTTTCTGATATATGCTCTTAAATGTTACGCTTTCACACATAAATGATTAATCATCCGTTTAATCCCCTCACAGTTTACACTAACAACTCTCAACACCAGCTCACTGACCTGTTTGTGTTTGTGTGTGCAGAGTATGTGAATGCCCAAGAGATCCCCACAGACATGAAGTCCATCACAGACCGAGCTGCTCAGACGCTGCTGTGGACAGAGCTCTTCAGAGGTCAGCCGAATGTCACACTTGTACATAACGATGCATTTTACTGCATGTGAGACTATTCAATTGTGAGTTTTTCCCTTTAACAAACAACTAATCTTGCATTTATCTTCCTTTTTACTAGTAGTCATGCCAAAAATAATGAATGCAACCTGAATTCTACCCCATAAGGGTTTGTGACTGCTGAGATATTTGTTTATTCTGTGCCTTTTGTTTCTAGGTTTCATTTATCACTATGTGTTGCAGTGCTTCATAAGGAGGTTATTGCAGGAACACAGGAAATCTCCACCACTGGAGGTGGACTGACTGCTGGAAAATAATCTTTGTCCATGTGCTTTGTATGCGTCAGTTAAAGAGATACGTTCTTTTTTCTCATTCAAACATCAATGCTTGTGTTGGGATGTCAGGTCTGGGCATGACAATGAGCTACCTGTTCAGAGAGCCCGCCACCATCAACTACCCATTTGAGAAGGGGCCACTGTCACCTCGCTTCAGAGGAGAACACGCACTGCGCAGGTGAGGACGATCACTCAGTGGGCTGTGGGTTGTATACATTTTGAAAATAACTTTCATGCTTTGAGATGTTTTGTTTTTCACAATGATGGACTCCGCATTTGACAACACTTATCATTTTAGGAAAAGTCAAATTCATTGCATTCTCCTTTTGCAATACGGAACAGTGCTCTCTAATTCTGAGTGATTGAGTCATTGTAGAGACTAACCAAAGAGGTGTCAAGAGGAGACGGTAATGAAATAATCATGATTTACAGATTTAGCATGCTAAAAATAAAATGCTCTCTAATCGCTGAAAAACAGTCCCACACTCGACCCATTAACCACAAAATGAACTGGAATTTGAAATGCTATGCTGTTGGCCTGAGACTGATGGAAAGCTGCAGAGATTTACCAGCTTCTGAAACCCCTCCCCTCAAACCTTTCCACTGTCAGATTAGAGGGAGCTGTACCCATAACCACTTTGGATTTCAGACAACACGTCATGTGAACCAAATAGTTTTTCTTAAAAAGGAATGAACAAATGGGTGTAGAATAGGTGGTGTTCAAGAGACGCTTCTGAAAAATGTTTAAAAAAAACTTTGTTCTGACACTACAAATAAAAGTATTAAATAAGTATATTTTGTTACTTATCGGTGTTTGAGACAGCGAGCGGTGGCTGCCGACGTCTCCCTTTTTAACTTAACACTATTGTCTAAATAAAGGTTAATCATAATAGAGCTGAAATACTGATTAATAACTGAATAATAACTTCGTTTTTTGCTTAAAGTAAATGTCTTATCTCTTAATTTTCTTCTCAGCGTAAACCAGAATGCTACATTTTAAAGCTCATATTTAAAATAGAACCCCCCCCCCCCCCCCGACAGGGTTTCGTGTTTCATTGCTTGTCACCTTTTTCACCTCTTATGAGATTGCAGGTATGACTATAACAGTGCCAAGGGGTGGAAGGACGGCTGCAGCTCTCGTGAACTCAACTTCATCACAGTGTAACCAATTGCAACAACATAAACTAAAGAAAGGGAATTAATACAGGGGGTGGATTTTATGAGTAGTCCTCTTCACCAGAGAGCGATCTGTGAGCAACGTCAGCTACAGAGTCCGATCGTGAACAGTAAATTTAACTTATCAAATCCTTGGAATGGTAGCCATGACAAAGTGCAAATGGAATGGTAAATGGACTGTACTTGTATTTCTCTTTTCTAGTCTTCCGAACACTCAAAGCTCTTTAACACTACATGTCATATTTTACCCATTCATACACTGATGACAGGGCTACCTGCCCATCAGGACTAACTAACTATTCATACACCCAACTTGGGGTTAATTGTCTTGCTTAAGGACACATCGTCATGGACTAGCGGAGCCGGGGATTGAACCACCGATCCGCTGATTGAAGGACGACCCTGCTCTACCACTGGGCCACAGTCGCATTAAGCGCATTTATTGCCCTTGGAAGAAAGGAAAATTCTTCCAAGAGTGGGTGGTCAGAAGTCAGATCGACCATGCCTTCTGCAAATCTTGTCTCTCATGGATATCTGCTAAAGAAAGCTGCTGTGTGCCAATTACATTGCTGGCTATTATATCAATGTTGAACAAAGGTTTTTTGTATGTAGAAGGGGCAGCCTAATGTCTGCAGTACACAGTCTCTCTGACAGTGATGTGCTTACACCGCTGCTGGAGGACATTGGCTGGTTGACTTATCTTTCCAATCCAGCTTCTATGATTAATGTGCCAAATCAGAACTCATCTGTGTCCGCATATTTCTGTTCACCCTTGACAGTTGAGTTTCACCTGCCTGATCGGATAGTGATCAGTTATATTTCAAGGTTAAATGAGTGCCTGTAGAGCGGTGGATAACACTTTTTCATTCTCTAGAAATTCTTCACAATAAAAGTCCCCCATTATTTTTGCTGCTTACTCTTCCTACCTGCTGTTTTATTAAACTTGTTTTATTTAGGAGTAGCTGCTAACAAAGCTTTGCTAATTCAAGGATAAACATTTTGCAAGCATCTTTGAATTTCTCCAGATGAATTACTTCTGGAGTCCTTGGTGCAGTATCAGCGCTCTAGTTTCTTGTGATGTTTCACCAGGTACCCTTCAGGAGAGGAGCGCTGCATCGCCTGCAAGCTGTGCGAAGCTATCTGCCCTGCTCAGGTATTCACACACAAACATACTAGACGTGGCTTGATTGCATCATGTTTGCCTTTTAATATGATCAAGACAAAACTACTTCGGCTATATGTATGTTTAAACCATAAGCAACTGTCTTTACTGCGAAGTAACACATACAATGCATGGTTAATATGCATTTCATCTCTGGTGTGAATAAATATAGCCATTTATAGTCGATCTCAATACCAAATCAGAGAAAAGTCTGAGATGGAGCTCTGTCTGTGTCTCTCTTCATCTCCAACAATGTGTGTATCCAGGCCATCACCATCGAAGCAGAGACTCGTGCTGACGGCAGCAGGAGGACGACTCGCTACGACATCGACATGACCAAATGCATCTACTGTGGCTTCTGTCAGGAGGCGTGTCCTGTGGACGCCATCGTAGAGGTTCGTGTATGATCACTTTTTGTTTCAACGTGGTCTTGCATTTTATCTACCAAATGTGATACTAATGGTTCCCCAGCAGATGTTGTCATTTTGACTTCTCAAACATGTTGTTTTTTCCAACCCATTACCTGTAGCTTGTGCAGTGCCAACATTTAGTTCCCAAACAGAACAGTGGAACCAATGCAGAATCTAATGATAATGGCTACATTTTAAGTCACAACTTGTTAGGGTCAGAGAAAAGGCCAAATAAAAAAACAGTGCATTGGTAACCTGAAAGCTCCATCGTCTGTCCGTGCTGAATGTGATGATCTTCAGCTTTGCTTCTGTCCTCTCTTCCTTTTAATCCTGCTCTTACCCATGATCCTTTTCTTCTCTCTTATGTTCCCCTCGCCATCCTCTCTCTTATCTTCTTTCTTCAGGGTCCTAACTTTGAGTTTTCCACTGAAACACACGAAGAACTGCTCTACAACAAGGAGAAGCTCCTCAACAACGGAGACAAGTGGGAGGCAGAGATAGCTGCCAACATACAAGCTGATTACCTCTACAGATAGACACCACACACACACAGTGTACAGTTAGCACATGCAAGAATAACCTCTGACACATGCATATGTCCATACTGTACATACTGTAAGAAGACATACTCAGCTGTGGATGTGCTTCAGGGTGGGATTTGGATTTGTCGATGCATCTTTTATTTTAAATCAAACATCACCAACACATTTCCTCTGTTTTCAGTGTCATCCCCTTCCGATATGATGAATATACTTTGATATGTTTCTGATTTTACCATGTCACTGTTTGGATTACATATTTATTGAAGAATGATGGCTGTCTGTGTGATTAGTGTACAGCAGTCCAGCTGCCTCAGCATGCTCCAGTCAGTGATCATCCAGTCATCCATGTGGTTGCACTGTCACACGAGACTAAAAAGCGCAGAGACTGAGTCATGCTGTGGCTGTATCGTTGCTGTTCACTGATTGCAGATAGAATAATTCTGATGACCCACACCAGTATACATGGATTATTGTTAATATCTTGGATGTCAATGCAGAGTTTTATGGTCTTTGTACTCTTTCCACTCTGACTCAAGAAATAAAATTTTGGGAGAAACCCTGTGTGGATTGTGAAAGTTCCATCTTGACTTTCATCTCAAGGTCACCAAGCTACAGACTCCATGGTGAAGACTGTGACCCCTGTGTTTGAAAGCTCTTGAAAAAGTTAGTAAGTGGACCTTGAGTTCAGAGGGATGTTTTGTTTTGTCTGAATTGGATACATCAAGGATTATCATAAAGGGTAAGATGCCCACCCACATGCATTGTATAGCGTCAATATTGTATAACCTTTCAAATTTAATCTTATATTCTGTTTTTAGATTTATTTTGTAACATCTTCCTCTTGGGACTACAGATGAAAAATAGCCTTTTGGCTAACTCTGGCACATTTACAGAAATGTTTTTGTCAATGTGCACTGTCCCTTATCAAATAAACCAATAAATAAAAAAATAACATGCAATTCAGCTGTGACCATTAAAGGTCAATGAAGTTAATGTGTTTACAATTTTGCACAACAGATATTAGGGTAACTTGGTCAAATGTTTCCTTAATGCTTTTAAGATTCTGTACATTTGACAAATATTGACTAAAGTATTAGGAGATTCATGTGGAGAACTTATTAGTTTTGAAAAAAATATTAAATACATTTTTGAAATATTTATAGCAGCAGTTTTGGGTAAAACACCCTGGAAAACATCCCTTTCCACAATTATGTTTCTATGCAGGTCTGATTTTTGGGCCATGTGTAAAAAATGATCTCTGAAATAGTAAGATATTATATTTCCATTAAAGGACAAGAAATATACTGAAGTGCTACTAGTTAAAACCTTACTGATGAAATATTGTTTGGTAATTAACTTAGTTTTCTTTTCACATTTAATCGTTTACATTCCCCCAAACTGGGTCTGATTATGAGTGATCATACTGTTGATACTGACATTATATAAGCCACTGATCACATCTCAGTAGGTAGATGGGGTTATTAAGGGGGGCATCTTCCCCCATCGTATCCATACTTTTGCATGCTAGTGTCATATAACACATCTTATCTTTCAACATTATGAATATTAACATAATATCAAAATGAACACAGCATGCTTCCTATTGATCAATTCCTGTTAATTATACTGGAATGCATTTAGGCCTTTTAGCAGCTTTCTGTCAGTATTCTAGAACAGCATGATATCATGTGGAGCAGTCACAGACTTTCTGCTGGATTCTTCTCTGAGAAAAGCACGGTGGAGGAAATAAGGAATTCTGAAAGCACATTTAAAAACTAAAATGACATGGACTGCCCACAATAACCTGGAAAAAGAAGGCAAACAAAAAATAAATCACCTCAAAGCACTCTGCAAATGCACTCTTTTACTTCATATTATCATTATGCTTTAGCCTACTTTGATTCAAACCATATCCACCCTGACGGCTGCTCAGTTCTGTTGACACTTTTCAGTTCTATTTATTTTACTTAATTGTGTATTAATAAAACTACATAATTGAGTAAATTAGCCCAGGTTCATGTTACCTCCCAAGTGGGCTCCTGAGCTATCCTCCAGGCCTATAAAGTAACAGACAGACCTGAAGCTGTAAAGCAGAAAACGAGTTATCAGTGAAGATAAAGTATAAAATAAATGTACTTTGGGTTATGATACCAATGGGGAGTTTCTTTAGCGCGGATAGCGCTGTAGAGATGGCTGTGGCTATGCAAGACTAGCTGAAGAGCGAGAAGGTATCTGTTCCAATCTGTGTTCTTGGTTTGTGTGTGGTTATCGGTTATAGCACTACGGGTTGAAACCTGCTTGTAAGGGTTAGGCTAGCCCATTGGTCAGGGCATAGGACCTGAATAAATCCGGTTACCAGTACCTCGGTCAATGCTGTACAGGGGTCTGCAGTGGGATCGTGCCAAAGGACACCTGAAATGGGGACTTAGGAGGGATTGAATCATCGATCTTCACTTTTCTAGTCTTCCAACCACTCAAAGCACTTCAACACTATCGCCCATTCTCACACTGATTCCATTCTTCCATTTTGGATTTAATCCTATAAACACACTGGGGGGTACATCTCAAGTCTCTTATTTGTCATTACCTTGTTTCCTCTCTCCTCGCATGGTTTCCTTTCATCTCTCCATGCATCCCTGGTGGGAGGGACTAAGACTCAATGAAAAGACAGAAGTGAGGGAAACGAGGATGCAATTAAGAGACTTGGGACGTACCCACAGAGGTTTTCATCAATCACAAGCAGTCCTTGCTCATCAGTTGTAAACACATCTCACTGTAGGATCCTAAAAACAGTTAGGCACAATATCTGTGAAAAGGTAGAGATTCAAGTAGGGGACATGGGACTTTGGTGTAGCGTTGTTGCTGGTAGAAGATTTAATAAATAATAATTAATTAATATCAAGATATGTAATGATTATAACTAATTCAATTATGACTTATAAACCCATAAATTAGTACAAACGAATGATGGCACTCAGTTTATGCCATAAGCCACCATTAGTCTAACAAACAGTATTTAACAGAAGATTCAATTTTGGAAAAAATGGGAAAACTTTCAAATTTGATATTAACCAATTAAATCTTAATCTCAGGGTTGCTACAGAGTTCTTCTCAAGGTTTACAGGTACCTAATATGTAATATACACAAAAAGCAATGCTCAATTCTAAATGAAATATTTATTGGACTTACTACATAACTAAACTACTCAACAGAAAATAAATGAATAAACAATAAAATTAACTAAATGAAAGGAATGAATAAAGAATAGGATGAAGAGGACTAACTAACACTAACCCAAATATCTACAGTAGATGAGGAAACTATGACAAGTATGAAGAAACAAATAGAGAACTTTATTCATGAGTTATTATATAATGTTTATAAACAGTCAGACTTAGATAACAGAGGGAATCTAATTCATGCTCTGAAATCAAGTCAAAAACAAATTCAAGAGAAATTTATTAAATGTATAAAAAACCATGAAGGTGATACTTTTTACTGTGAAAAGGAAAAAAGGGAAGTAATCAGAAATCTGTGTGTCAATGCATATAAGAGAATAGACATAGATTTAGGCTGAGTCAATATTCTGTTGGAAACAATGCCTTCATACAGCGATTTAAACTTCACTCATCTTGCGTGGTAATGAGGACAGACGGGTAACAAGGACAGACGGGTAACGAGGACAGACAGGTAACAAGGACAGACCGGTAACGAGGACAGACGGGTAATGAGGACAGACGGGTAACGGGTAACGAGGACAGACGGGTAACAAGGACAGACGGGTAATGAGGACGGACAGGTAACAAGGACAGACGGGTAACGAGGACAGACGGGTAATGGGTAATGAGGACAGACAGGTAATGAGGACAGACGGGTAATGAGGACAGACAGGTAGCTAGGAATGCACACACCAGGTTTCAGGAGGCTAGCACATAATTTGACCGATGTAAAAATGTTCTTAAAATCTCAGAAATTGGTCCCAGATACTCCAAATTTTGGACACACATTGTGGGCCTACAATGACAGCCCGTTGCGAAATCCCCTCCACAGCATTTAGAAAAACAAATTTTCATGTTTCCTACATTTTTAAAACGTATTTCCCATCCGTCAGAAAATGTCCCAATTGGAACTCATGCCAGTCTTTTAGTTATTTTTCCATACTTTAAAGTAAGATGTAGGAATGAAACCTTTTCAAATTCAATGAGAGGTTTATGGAGATGAGATGACTACAATTTGGAGGTCGTAGCTCCCAGCTAAGGTGCCCAAAAACAGGCACAAAGGTCTTAATTGGCCCCATATTCCCTTATAATTTTGGTAAATTTGGCCAATGTAAAAATGGTCATAGAATCTCAGAAATTGGTCCTAGAGACTACAAATTTTGGACACACATTGTGGTCTGGGCCTACAATGAGGTCAAGTTGTAAAATCCCCTTCAAAATATCTAGAAAGCAAAATTGCCTGTTTGAAAATCCAGGGTCACAATGGGGTGAGGTTCGTTAAGTCAGACACCACTGAACAAGTTGGTCAAATAGGATCAATTTTGCTTTGTAAACATGTCAGAGCTCTGCTTTTTGGATATGTTGTAGCCAGGCCCATATGTGACACATTCATGTTGGTTGGCACTCTCTATCACCTAGCATGCCTTTGTGGGAAGCAGGAAAGCTCGCAGACATTTGAATGGGACATTTTGTTAGGGTAAATGAATGGAAAAAGATACCCAACTGGCAATCTTTCAAGTGCTAATAACTTCTAAGAAAATGATTTAATCTGCCAGAATTTCATATCAAACATTCACTTTGATGACGTGATTCAGCATATTCAGCGAGAAGTCTGCAGACCCTTTGGAAAGCTATCTTTCCTCAGGAACATTGTATTGATTTAAATCCAACTGATCCTGAAAGGGTGTCATCTTTTGTCCACCATATATTATTTTCATCAACTTCTGTCAAGTAAAAGTGGTTTATTGGAGCCAACAGAAACCTGTACGCCTTTAACAGTCTTTTAATTATTTAAAATTACTACGATTTGGAGTTCGTAGCTGCAAGTTAAGGTGCCCAAAAACAGGAATAAAGGTCTAAATTGGGCTATAGGCCTTTAAAATGCCGGTAAATTTGACCTATGTAAAAATGGTCATAAAATCTGAGAAAAAAGTTGAAACTGCCTGCATTTTGCATCAAACATTCCCTCTGATGACTTGATTTGGCCTGCCAAGCAAGCAGTCTGCAGGACCTTTGGAAAGCTATCTTTCCTCAGGAACATTGTGTTGATTAAAATCCAACTGATCCTGAAGGGTTAGGAATACACACACCAAGTTTCAGGAGGCTAGGAATACACACACACACACCAAGTTTCAGGAGGCTAGCACCAAGTAGCCAAGAGCTATACACCATCTAAGCCTCTTCACCATATATGGTGAAGGGGATTTATTACCCAAGGTCCTAGAACCTCAAACTTGGTACCAATCAAACCGCAATGGCCACAAAAGGGGGGGGGGTAGAGCCCACATCCAAGGCCCTAGGACCTTCGCATCAAAAGTTGCTCAGTATTGACCTGTGGGCCAAGGTCGTGAGGTCAAGTACCTACACTATGGACTTGTAAAGTCCACAGCTCCGCACTGCTTGCTCCAATTGACCTGGGATTTTGTGTGCACCCAGGCTCCCCTTCACTAACTCAGCCAACTTATACGGGCTTGAATAAGTCACAGTTCTCAAGATTTCAGAGAATCTGCAGTAAGACTTTGATTCTGCAAGCAGAGTGCTATTCCCAGCTTTGGCCAAAAGAGAGAACTCTAGGACCTCTCTTAGAAAATGTCACAGGACATTTCAGCAAACTAAAAGTCTGAAATCTAGAAACTGAATTTATTTGATTATTTGACCTTAACCATAACCCAGGTCACACAATAGGCCGGGAACTTCAAAATAAAACAGGAAACCAAAAAAAAACTAATCCAAGATCATGACAGATCTGCACTCTACTGAGTATGCCTTACTACTTTCAAATATGCGTTTTCTCATATCACAGCTTGTGTTGCAAATAAAATAAAATCAAGCACTTCGCCTAATTACATAAGGAGGCATATTTATGTTCTTCAAATCGAACAGTTATGATAATTAGATAATTATACTCACTGCAGTAGAATGAAATAAACTCCCCCATCAATCTGAAACATTCCTATGTGTGTGTCAGCCCAGCCCCAGTAGTATATATATATATATATATATATATATACATGTTAGATGTATGTATTTTTGTACATGTTCCCAGATGATATAACTGCACGTTACACAATGACACAAAAACTAATTCAGACAGAAAAAAATGCATTTGTAAACAAACGATGTTTTAAAGATCAGTTATCTTATTACTAAGTTCTCCACAAATGGAAGAGGGGGTCACACAGAGAAATGCTCGATCTCGTCCAAGCGCGAGTTTGGAAATGATTAGACCATAGTTGCATGAAGTCAATAAAAAGCGATAGGCTATCTACAACAACTGAGAATGGTAATGAATATTAAAACATTCAAATTATGTTGGCCAGTTTCGTTTACTGTTCCTAATGTTGCCTGTGGTACTGTATTTATTTAATAGGTAGCTACTATTTCTGATTTCCAACAGTGGAGGGAAGCATTCACAAGAGGACAACAGTCAGCAGCAGCGCTGTATCAAATGCGTGCTCGTTCACGTCGTTCCGCAACGCACGTTCAAGTGGACGACGTCCCTTCTGCGTCATTTGCGCGCCGCCTCGCTCCCGATGCACTTATTTTCCCAAAAGCCCAAAGATAGATGTTCCGATTTCAGGTGAGTATTTTACCCCAGGACAAACATGCCCTTTTCCTGAAGACAATTTCAGATATTTTACAGAGAACTGGTAGTAATTACAGAATGCGTGTGATGTAGAGAGTGAATGTTGACTATTGTTTATGCGACTGCTAAATTCAATGCGGTTGGCGGCCTGTGAAGCACCCCGCTTGCCTGGTAACCTGAGCCAGAAGGAAGATAAGCGCTCCCTTCCAATGGTGACAAGGATTGTTAAATAAATTGATACACTTTATGAAAGGCAAGTGTGTGATATTTATAATCTGTGTCTAAACAGTATTATATTGGTTAGTTCCTGGGCAGCAGTGCCAGTTTTCCATCGACGTGGGTCCTGCGTGATGTAACATCAGCATTAGCATCGTGGCTAACGAGTTATCTTGCTAACGTTACCTATAGGGTGTCAGAAGGTCCTGGAGAAGACGTCCTGGGTACTACGTATTCGTATTATTTAAACTGAGTAAACAGGAGTAACTTTACCTAACGTTCTAGTCAGTCTGTGACGCTGAGGTTTTTCACAGTGAGAAATCCTGCTAGATCACTGCTGACTTGGCCAACTGATGAATGTTATTAGGCTAACTTAATTTTCAATTACGTTGATGTATGTACAGAGTCACAGCTATACAGTATTAACTTTTAACACTAGTCATGCTACACTAGCAAGTTATGTCAATCTAAATTATCACTCTACTCAATTTTCACTTTCTAAAATACATTTTGCACGATCTCTGTATTCCATACGTTTAATGCTACTTGACATTTTATCACGGTAGCTAAGGCTAGTTAGATGTTTTTGGTACATAGGTTAATGATTGCATTAATTTAACTTATTTTCATTGCCTCATGTTCACCAGCTGGGACTAAATTCAAGTCATCACACTTATTACTGTGGTCTATGTGGCATTAGCAGCAGCAAATGAATGTACATTTTGACTTTAATAGCAAAAACAACCAAACACTTTTATAGTGTAGTGTTGCACTGGGAGCCCATGTTCATTTACAGAGGCCATCTGACAAATATGACATATTAGCTAGTATACATTATTAATCACCTGCTATGTGGTAACCCATCAGTTTCTTCATAAACTGACCCCCGACATGACTTGCATTTAAATCTACAGATTACTGAACCATTAAGCCATGCCCTAAATGGTATCATTAATGACTGGCAGACATTAGAAAGACAACATTCAGAAAGTCTCCTGACAGTTGGTCCGAATGGTGTTTTACATTTCTGGGGCCCTTGTGTTGTGCATGTGGAAATTTCTTTCTGGGACACTTAATCAAACTGAGTCTTAGTTACTGTTATTAACTAATCTAGCCTTATTCCCAAACTTCTTCGTGTTGCATTATTCTGAACATTTTGATGTTTGTCTTTTTACTTTAGTCTACTGTGGTAAATTTAGCTTTCAATCAAACCTGGTCAGAAGCAGATTTAAAGGCTAAATCTGAAAATAAAGCCAAACACTGCAACTGAAGTATGTATGCCTGTCAGTTGATTAAAATATTGATATAATGATAATAATTGACAGATAACATTTTAGCATTAAGTAAACTGACACATCATTTATGGTATTGTTTAAAACCCTTTTGTATTTCCTCTGTTGCAGTTACAAAGCTCTAATATTATTTTTTATATATATTAATTAATATTAATATTAATATTTCTAGTGTTCCTGTAGAAGAAAACACTTTAAAATGTAATTTACTGTGATTTATTTCACGAAGGACTTCTGTCTTGTTTTGGTTAAGATAAGAACGTTAATCCAGGAAGTCATTTAAAGGGGTGTGTTGTGTAGTAAAGTGTTCGCGTTGTGTAGCCTGCGAGACTGCAGCAAGTGTAGCAACTCCTGCGCGTTGCATGTCTGTTTTTCAGCTCACCTCTTTTATTTGCTTCAAATCCAAAATGTTTGCTGTTATGACGCATCCAATTGTCTTAAAATCAAATTGGTTTAAGCTCAAACACCAGACTGAGCCGGCAAAACTGTCAATTAACTCTAAACGTCGTCCTCTATCTTCTCTCTAACTGTGTCATTTCTTTTCCCCATTCCTCGACTACGTCATCATGCCCTGCCTCTTTCCCACCTTCCTCTTAATCTGTTCCTTATCCCTTCATCGGTCTTCCCTGCTGTCTTTGCAGTCCCTGGATGAAGACTGTACGTTGGAGGAAGAAGACGAGGGACTGGTAGAAGAGGAAGATGAAATTAATCAGTTCAACGACGACACCTTCGGAGCTGGGGCCATTGGTGAGTCCTGCATACAATTTGAAATGTGTTTGCATTAAATCACTATACTATACTTAAGGGTGTGCAAAATTATCGCTCCTATGCTCATTCATAATTACTCAATTTCAGTGGAGTTCAGTTTCAAGAAGGGGGTCTAACAAAAGTCACACTTACTCATATATTTGAAATGTATGAAAATGCATCGTAAACAGATTTTTTGTTCAATCTCAAAACATTTCAATACGCCATTTTTGGGGGGTGACTCTGGCTCAGTGAAGCTCACAGGGTCGTCCTTCAATCAATGGTTCGATCTCCGGCTCCGCTAGTCCATGTCGATGGCAAGACACTTAACCCCAAATGTCTCCTGTATCTGTGCCTACGGTGTGTGAATGTAGTATGAATGTTAGATAGTCATGATGGTCAGGTGGCACCTTGCATGGTGGCCCCTGCCATCAGTGTTGGAATGGATGTGATTGGGTGAATGATGACATGTAGTGTTAAAAAGCTTTGAGTGGATGGAAGACTGGCTGCTCTACCTGTTAATATAGGCGGCAAGAGGTGCTGTGTTAAAATGGAATGGCGGCAGCCTGTGAGTAACCATATGTAGTTCATCGGGCGTTGTATCGTCCTTGTGTGTGTGTGCTAAAGCCAAAATTTGTGTACGTGTGTGTGTATATCACGATAAAGACAGTATTGCAAAATCCATGCCGTGACCTGAGACACCGGTGGCGATGATGAAACCGGTATACTGCCCACCACAAGTAGAGGGCTGTTACACTGGTGTAATGATTGTTGGTCAACTACATGAATGCAATACCTGACTACTGTGATTGTTAAAGTTTGTCAAAGTTATAAGCCCAAAAAATATATAGTCTCTAGAACTATACTTACTAGCACAGATGATTCATCGCCGTAGAACAAACAACCACTGTGTTTGGCTCCTCTCTTCTTCCAGATGACGACTGGCAGGAGGAACACAAACGTCTCGCTGGGCTCGATAAGGGGGACGGGCTAGGAGGGGGAATGGGAGGAGAATCAGATCTAGGTGGAGCTGAGGACTCATCCTCCACCTATCTCCCTTCCTCAGCGGGCCATCTCCCCCTTCCATCTTCTGTCCCTTCACTAAAATTCTCCTTGTCTTCCTCTGGACTGCCTCCAGGTCAGTGATAGGCAGCGAGACTTGACTTGACTCAGGAATCCTGTTCAGTTCTCTGTGAGATTGCAGTATTCCTTACTTCACTGGATATTTTTTTAGGTCTTGAGATCAACTAAAGTACTTGATTCTATTTTTAAGAGTGTAAAATTGGGCTTGGCAATGGGCCAAATTTATTGGATAACTGAACAGAATTGCTGGTCACAGATTTTTCCCTGACTTATTATTTAATATATCACATGGAGAGCAATAATATACCTGGAAAAAATACATACACCTGGTTGGAAAATCCAAAGTAAAACTGTCCTTTCAGATGTGGAGGATCGAGGAGGGGGAGGTGACTTGGCTGAGTCCCTGGCCAGACTCATCCTGGAGGCTGACCCTGCCATCGCTGGGGTCGGAGCAGCTGAGAGACCTGGTCCATCCCCCAGCTCTTCACGTTCCAGCCTGTCCGCTCTGCAGGGCTTGGACCGACCCAGAGTCCGGCCCCAGCCCTCCTCAATCCCTCATCCCACTCAACCACACCAGCATCCCCATCACCCCCAGCACCAGCTGCCTCCTGGGCCCTCTGCCTTAGGTGAGAATAAATGCAATAATTTTTTTGTATTGGTGACTTCAGTTACTAATCAGATAGCCAACTTAAAGGTACGATGTGTAAGATCCGGCCTGAAACATGGACATTGAACATTACCACCAGAATATAAATAGGTTACAGTGTTGACGGTTTGTCAAAGAGGTCTATGTATTGTGTTACAGAGATTGTTGAGGGGAAATGCTGCCCCCTATTTGTTTGAAGCATGTGGCCAGGTATTAGACATTGCACCAAATTCGCCACATTTTATGTGGATGTCTAATCAGTGCAGACGGTAAATATAGTGTCATAGACTGGGCCAGTTGATGAAGTTTAAACTACTGCTCCGACTCTATTATTGTTCTATACTTAATACCTATTGGTGTCCTGATGAACTTTGAAGAATGCACTGGAATCAGACAGAGATCGATGCAATATAGTTTATTCTTCAAGCAAAGAACACAACCCGAGTCATTCTCCGGAGAGGAACTGATTTATTCTGTTCTTATGTAGTTTTATACTGTATAATGTGGCTTTGCCCTTTTAAGCTCTTCCTCCGTTTCCTTTGATCTGTCAATATTTTTTAATTAAACCCAGTAAATCACAGTGTGTCACTTTCCCTGTCATGTCGGTGTGAGTTATGTTTGTATGGTCTCTAATGTGTGTATTGCATGTACCAGTTTGTCATAGTCATCTCTATCTTTCTAGTGGGAGTTGAAAGACTTTTCCTTTCACGCCTATCACTGCTCACGCCTCCTATCACTGCTCATGCCTCCTATCACTGCTCTATTTAGATATATTTAAACAAGTAGATATAATCGTTGGTGATATTATGATATATCAAACTCCAACAGTTGTCCACTGAAGAAATAAAAACCCCTTCATAACATCTACTGAAGTCAAGAACACTCTGGAGGAGGTAGACATGCAATTGTAGTAGTCTACAATCAAGAGACCTTCATGAATCTAAATACAGAGGGTTTACAACAAGGTGCAAACAGGAAGGCCGATTAGACTTTGCCAGAAAACATCTGACAGAGCCTGACCAGTTTGGGAACAAGATTCTTTGGACAGATGAAACCAAGATTAACTTGTACCAGAATGATGGGAAGAGAAAAATGTGGAGAAGGAAAGGAACGGCTCATGATCCGAAGCATTCCACATCATCTGTTTAACATGGTGGAGGCAGTATGACATGGGCATGTATGGCTGCCAATGGAACTGGGTCACTGGTGTTCATTGGTGATGTCACAGCTGATAGAAGCAGCAGGATGAGTTCTGAGGTGTTGGGGCTAAACTATCTGCTCAGATCCACCTTAATGCTACAAAATTGATTGGACGGCGCTTCACAGTGCAGATGGATTATGACCTAAAACATACTGTGAACACAACACGAGCTTCTCAGGGCAAAGGAATGGAATATTCTTCAATGGCCAAGTCAGTCACCTGATCTCAACTGAAGTGAGCAGGCTTTTCACTTACTGAATATAAAACTGAAGGCAGAAAGACCCACAAACAGCAGTAGCTGAAGGAGGCTGCAGTAAAATGTCTGGCAAAGCATCTCAAAGGAGGACTCACCGTTTGGTGATTTCTATGGGTGCCAGACTTCAGGCAGTCATTGACTGCAAATGATTTTCCCCCAAGTATTACAAATAGTGCTGGGCAAGTTAACGCGTTAATTTCGCGTTAACGTATTCATTAATTAACGCCGACAATTATTTTATCGCGCGTTAACACATTTTTTACATTTATTATTTTTTTTCTTTTTTTAATTGAAAGACAAGAGACAATACATATACATAACAACAAGATAATGACAAGAACAGTGGGATAAAAGCCAGCAAACAGTGTGTGTGTGTGTGTCTCTCCTTGAGCCTTTTGAGATGGAAAAAAAAAATAATAATAATTAAAAAACAACAACAGGTAAATATTTTTAATTTATTATTATTGTAACAGACTGTCTCATGTTTATCGTTTTGTATTGGAGATATGTCCCTTCAGGGTTGCCGTAGAGAAAAGGTGCCTTCCGCTTCTGGTCGGGGGGAGGGGGGGGGTGGGCAGAAATAAAGAGAGAAGCTGCACCAGCTGTTGCTCTCCCTGGAGACTACTGGACATCGCTGCGGTAAGGTCAGCAGACACTCAGATCTCCGTGGTCAACTCAGCAGACACTTACATTTTAGTGCACCTATATGCTGAAATTCACGGTAAACACATTTAAACGGCACAGATCGGGAGCGAGCGAAGGACTTTGAAAGTTAGCGGAAAGATTAACGTGAGACAACATCCGGTTTCTTCAGACGAACATCCGGTTTTCAGAATAAGATGCCAACAAAGTATGAATTATATTCACATTAAATATAAAACATGCTACCTGCATCTCGTGAACCAAATGTTATTGCCCTTTTGTTCATACAGCAGTACTTTTAAAATAAAAGTGCGCAATACACTACTTTTGAATTCATTATTGAACTTTGCCATAACAATGCGATTAATCGCGATTAATTGCAAAAAATCCATGCGATTAATCGCGATTAAATATTTAATCGTTGCCCAGCACTAACACAAATAATGATTTTATTCACAATTATGTTTTTTCTTTTGAGCCTCTGAAAATGTGGGAGACTGTGTAAAAATGGCTGTAATTCCTAAACGTTATTGTGATATTTTTGTTATATCCATTGAATTAAAGCTGAAAGTCTTCACCACTGGAGTCGTGTTGCAAAATTAGAAAAATTGTGTCACAGTCCAAATACTTATGGCCCTGAATCCTTGGCCCTGGTCTTCTGAATTAACGTTTCTCAACTTTTACCTTGAAATTTGTCGACATAATTGTTTACATAGTGTGATAGAGACTGTAATGTGTTGAATGTGTCCTGGTATTGTTCTGTGTGTACCTGCCCAGGGAGATGGATGTTTTTTGTGTATGGTCCTTGTTTGATTAATATTAAAATCTGCTGTGTCCTGCTGTACTATTCCAGGCCTTCCTCCTGGCGCTGCTCTCTCGTCCATGCTCAGCTACCAACAGCAGCAACACTTACTGCGTAGAGGGACTGCTCCTATGGCCCAGGTTAGTTTTGAACTGACGTATCTGTCTCTACTATTCTGTATACCAGTATTTTTAAAGCTTGCAAAGCAGTTTGTAAAAATGCAATCACCTCATATTTATTCTATGTCAGATTATGCGGTGGGACATGTGGGAGAAGAAGCTTGCAGTGTTTTTTTTTCGGAGTGGTGCATTACTTATAATGCTTTATGACTGTTAAGATATTAATGAGGGGTGGATTCATGGTTTATATTTCCACAATTTACTAATCGGCAGCTTCTTTTCTGGATTTGAGTTTAAGCTGTGAATTATATTTAGTGTAACTGGCTGTTTGCAGTATTGTTTATTTAAACTTTGTTTGTGTAAAATCTTTTAGTTTGAAAATATATTTTCTCTCATCTCTAGATGAACTCTCACAGTATCTGGGAGAACAGTATGGGTTTTGGGCCGGTGAGTGTCTCCCCCGGACTGATTACACACATGGAGGTGAGGGATACTCTTCTGCTTCTACAAAACACTGAGAATGCATGTCTAGTACAGCATAACTAAAAACATAGATTCAAATTAACCTTGGCATTTGGCATTTATTTTGCTTTAACACATCACTATCACACCTTTTAAAAATGCTAATTGCCTTTTCATTGCTAAATCATTGCATAATGGCCACCATCTAATTCCATCATTATATGATGGCAGACCTTCCAACCTGTACGCATTTTGCGTAGCAGGCCCTTGTTTTTTACATCAAAATATTTTGGTACAAGTTATTACTTTAAGGTATTTAAAAAGAGGACAGTTGTCTTTTTTTAACACCTAAGTATAGGATAAAAAATATAGCCGAGTTAATCGAGAGACATTGGATGATTGTTTCTTCTTTTTTTTTGCTGTGTCATCAGCATTCATATCTATACGACCAATTGGCTTATCATTGAATGATGAATCTTTTTGTTAAGTAAATAGTAATACCAGTGTAAAAATACTTAATACTAAGTCTTAGCATCAGAATATACTTAAAGTACCAAAAGTAAAGATACTACTACTGCATTATAATCATTGATTTATTAATGTGGTTGTCACTTGCAGCTGGTAAAGGTGAAGCCAACTATTATATATACTTGATAATTCTATACTTCTTAAATAATACATCATAGTTTTTTTTAGTTAATACATATTTTGTAATAGGAATCTGAATCTGCAAAGTAGCTGGTAACCTATATTGTCAAATAAATGTAGTGAAGTAAAAAGTATGTATGTCCCTCTGAGATGTTGTGAATTATGAAGTACAAGTACCCCTTATGTATAGTAGGTGACTGACTTAAGTAGCCTATATGCACCTAGTTAGATTCCACCACTGCTAGAGCACACAATTGTTTACAAGAGCCCAAAGTTCTTCATAGATCCGGCCTCTTAGTTTTGCTCTCAAAGTGCACTAGATTGGTGCATTTAACTTTAGAATGTGCAAAATGTTCTTCTAGGGTCCGAGGTCCACCCACCACAGTCTCACAAAATCCTGTGGGAAACACTGATGTATGCAAATTATGTACAGTAATTTATTGTGCGAGGAGCAGCGATTACATTTTGATGTATATTGGTTGCCGAAGTCCTCAATAACTATTGTCCAGGGTTGGCGGGCCTGTGATGGGGATGTCAAATATCCGTAACAAACCCAATAAACGCACATAAGAAATGAAATCTCCTTTTCTGAATTCAGTGTCAATTACATAGTGACCGACTGTATAGACACAAAAATATTTCTCCGAATTTTATACAGTAGGTTCAGCGTAAAAAGGGCTCAACCAAGCTGTTGATTTTGGTGTAGTCATCTGTATTTTTCTAATCACCCTTTTTGTCCTCCTCAGGATAGTCCTCTGATGTCTATAATCAAGGAGGTGGGCCTTCCGAAACAACCTCCTCAGGGTAGGAATGATGGACGGGATTTGTCAGAGAGGGTACCACCTCCACGCTCTTCTTCCCCTGTGATTGGCTCCCCTCCGGTGAGGGCAGTGCCTATTGGAACCCCGCCCAAACAGCCAATGAGCCATGCTCTAAATCATCAGGTGAATAACAGATGACAGTTCTTCTCATTCTACACTTTTCCTGTTTTTCCTCCATCTTTTCCCCCTTTAACGATTTCCAAGGTCCAAATGAACACTAAATCTCATGTCTCAAAAACGCCCCCCATTATTGTCACTGTTTGTCAATGTGGAAGGCTATTTGTGTTTGTTGAAGACAAAGGTTTTCAAATACACTTGCCTACCACAGTAAAAAGTTATGTGGTATTATGTTGTTGTTTCTGGGGTCAGTTTGCCACATCTTAGTGAGTCTGACAGTCTTAATAATTGTAGTACTTGGCGTGCTGCATCATGTTTGTACTTGACGTGTAGTTGGCTTTGTCTCTGTTAACCCTGGTGTGTGTGTGTGTGTGTGTGTGTGTGTGTGTGTGTGTGTGTGTGTGTGTGTGTGTGTGTGTGTGTGTGTGTGTGTGTGTGTGTGTGTGTAGATCCACCATCCCACGGCGGTTCATGTGAGAGCCCCGGTCCAGCATAGATACCCTCCTCCTTTCCCTGAGCGAGTGTCACCCAACACCCTCCTCAATATAGCTGTGAGTTTTTTCCTTTCCCCATCCTCCCCTCGGTTTTTCAGCTTTGTATTCACATTAAATGAAAGAACGTTCTAGGGTTCCTGTAAGTGAAATGGCACAACACATCTCAAGAAATCAGTGTTTCTGTGATTTCATCCATGAACAGCTTGAACATTGGGTCTGCAAAACTAAAGATGCTAATTGACTTTTTTTTCCGACCGATAGCTGACCCTTCCGAACCAATCATTTGCTCTTAATATTGGGTTAGGAAATTAAGCTATCGGTAATTAAGCTAACCTCTGTTTATGTGTCAAATATTATGATTATGTCTCCTCTCCCCCTCTCTCCCCCACCCAGCCCCACCCTTTTAAAATAAAAGCCCCATGGATTAACTGTATTTAAACATTAAGCTCAAAATTAGGCTTTTTTGTTGAAATAATGAATTCTCTTACTAATACTGCGACAACTACTACTACTGCTGCTAATATTTCTAGTATTACTGCTACTACTACAACTTTTGCTGTTGCTACTACTATTGCTGCTACCATCAATATTATTACTACCACTACTACTATTACTTATACTACAACTGCTACTACTACTACTGCTATTCATGTACCCAGTACTAATACTACTACAGCTATTAGTACGACTGCTACTAGTACTACTACTACTGCTACTTCAAATACTGCCATTACTACTACTTCTACTACTACTACTGTTATATTAAATACTACGACCACTACTACAGCTATTACTACTACTACTGATACTACTACTTCTTCTAAATACTAATACTTCTACTACTAATGATACTTCTACTACAACTTCTACTACAAATATCACTACTGCTGACATTTTTTTAAGCCACAGACACCATTCGAATATCAAAATGTTTAGCTCTTTCAGGAGAGGGGTGAAATTACTTTTCATATTTGTAATCTTTAAATTCTTTGAAATATTAAGCTGTTTGCAATTTTTTTTAAATGGGATCTCTATGGAGAAAATCTTCAAATCCTGTTATATTGATGATTTTCTGCTTTCCTTCAAAAAAATGGTTAAGTTAGCCAGCTGCTGATGGTAGCTATATATTTGCGGTACAGACATGAAAGTGGTATTGATCTTCTCATTTAACCGTTCCTTTAAAAAAGGAGTAGACAAGAGAGACAAACCAACTTCCATTTTCATTATTCAGGGCTTAGAAGTGTTTATCTGCCGTCTTTGTTCAGAACTCTCCGCTGTGTCGCAGTCCGTTCCCTCCCGGAGTTGGTTCGGTCCTGTCTCAGATTCAACGTGTCCAGCTGCTGAACTCTCAGGTTGGTATCATAGAAACACACTCTTTTTAGATTGCTGCATATAACTCCTGGTTTCTTCGATAAGTGGTCGGTAATACCTTGGGATAAGAGAAATTGGGTTGATAATGAAATACAGAAAACTAAAGTCATTTGACAAGAAAAGTCAAATTAGAGGCAATGCTTTTTTTTTTATTACAATACTAGTAGAATGACCAGGCTGACATTCTGAGAAATGTGATTGTTTGCTGTCCTGGCTGTACTTGGATAAGAAGATTGACTTTAGTTTTACTTCTGTTTTTCAGAAGTATTGTTAGTGTGGTATTTCTTAAGCCCAGCTTTGCTCTAGAAACAGGAGAAGACACTTCACCTCCATCAAAATGGAAAAAGCAAATCTTTAGTACAAATGGTGTCTCATTACCTAGCTAGTATGCTTGGGTTTCTTCAGACTTAAGACGGCATTATAGAAACCTGGCGAACCCATGATGGGTGCAGAAACTGCTTCTCTGAGTAATACTGACACAGCAGCACCAATACTTAAATAGTTCCCTCCTAAATCACATGACTCATTATCTCACACTGAGTAATTGTCCCTCTCTTTCTCCAGGTGGCTGGTTTTCCTCACGGTGGACCAGCGCCTCCTTTGTTACCGGGTGGTGGTGGCGGTTTTAGGCCATTTTTCGGTCCTCCACTCGGTCACAGAATTGGCCCGCCCCCTCATGGCCACCTCAACCACGCGCCACCAATCCGGCACAACACCACCCACCTCCACCCCCAGCACCGCCGCATGCTCACCCAGCGCATGCAGAACCGGGGAGGGTAAGCAAGTGTGCATGTTTGTGTACACACAGTACATGTGAATAATGATAGAACTGTGAGATTACACAGCACTGGATCACTAACCAAGAAGCAACATTATCCTAAACACAGAGCAGGTTACAGGCTAAGATCACATTCTGAACAGAAAATGGCAGCTGTTGCTTTTCAGTTACTTTCCAAAGGTCACTGGGTAGACATGTGTTCTTGTCTCTTTGCCTCCCTTTAGGGACCGTGGCAGGACTGGAGGGGACCGGCGAAGCAGGGACCCCTACAGTAACCTTATGACTCAAAAAGAGAAGGAATGGGTAACCAAGATCCAGATGATGCAGCTGCAAAGTACTGACCCTTATCTGGATGACTACTACTATCAGGTTGGTTTTTAGATGCTGTTGTTGCCCTGTTATTTGCATTCATGTAGGGAGCTCAAAATAGCTGACCCTTTTTAATTGTTGGAATGCTGTTAAGCATTCCAACTATTGTTATCCTGTTCTTTATACTTCTTTATATTATTATATTTCTTCCGTACGTTTTTTGGCACTCTTCTCCTTCCACATTTTTTAAGCTACAGAAACCGTTCAACTATCAAAATGTTCAGCTCTTTCAGCTCATGTCTACTATGTCTCTTCATATTTATAATCTTTAAACTTATTGAATTATTAAGCTTTTTGCACATTTTTTTTTTAATGGGTTTCTATGGAGAAAATGTTCAAATCCTCTTCAACTTTCAAATCCTCCTACTTCCTCATACTTTCAGCTACAGACACCATTATAACTTTAAACTGTTGAGAAAACCCTGATATATTGCCGCATGATTCAGCTTTTTAATATCTTTTACACTTTTTGAACAACTGCAGCAATTTAACTTTTATGATTTTTTTCAGTCCTTTTCTGACTTTATAATGGGTGTGTATTGCGCAGCTTAGAGTGCGTGATGTCACCGCTAGAGTGAAGAGCAGCTTGAGATTCTTGTGGAAAAAAGTTTTGTCTTTTGCCAGTGAGTCCACAATCTTCACTCTTCATGCATAATTTCTAGTTTTAAAAGTAGCTGTTCTTGTCGTAGACAAATGACTGGAATCCCACAGATTTCCACATTTGGCACAGAAGAGGAAAAAAAGAGGAAAACCAACTTTCTGCTCCATAGAGACCAATGTTAAATTTTGCTTCAAAAACATCTTCCACGGAACACGGTACCCCATTTCTAGATCGCCAGTTAAGCCACATTTTTTACTCTACAGACACAATTTTTACAGGATCTGTTCTTCAACTCATCCTTCCTCTCATTTATTAATATTGGAGCAATAGGAGCTACGGTTATGGGAGTTTTGAGGATTTGTTAGAGAGGTGTTTCCCTGTTTTATCTCCATGAAAAGGCTGCAAGGACACAGGTGTTTCTGATTAAGCTAATTAGTGATGTTGATAAACACACAGACACATACGCACTCCTCTCGCTCTCATATACAGTCATTCAGGTTCTTAGAGATCTTTAGAGGATCTCCCCCCCCCCCCC